TGGATAATAGTTTTGGAAATCCCTCATCTCCTCCAAATTTCCAAACTACGAATTCCCTGCATTATATTCACACCACACATTGCCCTCAGACATGACATCTCCACTGCCTCCAGCTTTCTCCTTGTTGCAACATTCATCACCCATCTTTTGCACCCACATAAGAGCGTTGGTATAACTATACTCTCACACATTCCCCTCTTTGCTTACATGGACAAAGTTCTTTATCCCCACAGACTCCTAAGTGCACCACTCACCTTTTCCCCTCATCAATTCTATGATTCACCTCATCTTTCATAGACCCATCTGCTGACACGTCAACTGAATACATTCACCTCCTCCATACGTTCTCCCTCCAATTTGATATCCAATCTTTCGTCACCTAATTTTTTTGGTTATCCTCATTAACCTTTCGTATATTCACTTTTAATTTTCTTCTTTTACACACCCTACCAAACTCATCCACCAATCTCTGCAACTTCTCTTCAGAATCCCACAAAAGCACAGTGTCATCAGCAAAGAGCAACTGTGACAACTCCCACTTTGTGTTAAATTCTTTAACTTTTAACCTAACACCTCTTGCCAAGACCCTCGCATTCTCTTCTCTTACAACCCCATCTATAAATATATTGAACAACCATGGTGACATCACACATCCTTGTCTAAGGCCTACTTTTACTGGAAAATAATCTCCCTCTCTCCTACATACTCTAACCTGAGCCTCATTATCCTCGTAAAAACACTTCACTGCTTTCAGTAACCTACCTCCTATTCCATACATTTGCAGCATCTGCCACATTGCCCCCTATCTAACCTGCTATACGCCTTTTCCAAATCCATAAATGCCACAAAAACTTTACTCTTATCTGAATACTGTTCACCCATATGTTTCAATGTAAACACTTGGTCTACACACCCCCTACCTTTCCTAAAACCTCCTTGTTCATATGCTATCCTACTCTCCGTCTTACTCTTTCTTACTAATTCTTTCAATAATAACTCTACCATACACTATAACAGGTATACTCAACAGACTTATTCCTCTATAATTTTTGTACTCTCTTTTGTCCCCTTTGCCTTTATACAAAGAAACTATGCATGCTCTCTGCTAATCCCTAGGTACCTTACCTTCTTCCATACATTTATTAAATAAAAGCACCAACTACTCCAAAACTATATCCCTACCTGCTTTTAACATTTCTATCTTTATCCCATCAATCCCAGCTGCTCTACCCCCTTTCATTCTACCCACTGCCTCACGAACTTCCCCCACACTCACAACTGGCTCTTCCTCATTCCTACAAGATGTTATTCCTCCTTGCCCTATACACAAACTCACAGCTTCCCTATCTTCATCAACATTTAACAATTCCTCAAAATATTCCCTCCATCTTCCAGATATCTCTAACTCTCCATTTAATAACTCTCCTCTCATACTTTTAACTATCAAATCCATTCGTTCCCTAGGCTTCCTCACCTTATTAATCTCACTTGAAAACTTTTTCTTATTTTCAACAAAATTTGTTGATAACATCCAACCCATTCTCTCATTTGGTCTCTCTTTTTACATTGCTTCACCACTCTCTTAATCTCTCTTTTTCTCTCCACATACTCTTCCCTCCTTGCATCACTTCTACTTTGCAAAAACCTCTCATATGCTAAATTTTTCTCTCTTTACATCGTCATTAAACCAACCGCTCTTCTTCCCTCCTGCACCCACTTTCTTGTAACCACAAACTTCTGCTGAACACTCTAACACTACATTCATAAACCTACACCACACATCTTCGACTCCATTGCCTATACTCTCCCTAGCCCATCTATCCTCCACCAGTTTTTAATATTTTATCCTAATTGCCTCCTCCTTTAGTTTATAAACATTCACCTCTCTCTTACCTGCTGCTTCTATTTTCTTTGTATCTCATATATATATATATATATATATATATATATATATATATATATATATAACCATACCCCCGGCCGGGATTGAACCCGCGGTCATAGAGTCTCAAAACTCCAGCCCGTCGCGTTAGCCACTAGACCAGCTAGCCACAATAAGATTCATCCAACTAGGTGTATTTCTACACCATAGGAAGGTTAGCACAGGCACCTCTGTGACCACAAATGCAAGTTTTTACAGACGAATCTCCAGCTAGCGTGACCGTGACGAACTCTAGCTCAAGTCCCTTCACTGCCGTCAACATGACTCAAGAAATCGTAATGACACAATTGCAAATAAACCATACCCCCGGTCGGGATTGAACCCGCGGTCATAGAGTCTCAAAACTCCAGCCCGTCGCGTTAGCCACTAGACCAGCTAGCCACAATAAGATTCATCCAACTAGGTGTATTTCTACACCATAGGAAGGTTAGCACAGGCACCTCTGTGACCACAAATGCAAGTTTTTTACAGACGAATCTCCAGTTGCGGGCCGTGCAAACTCTACTCAAGTCCTTCACCCCCGTTGGATGAATCTATTGTGGTTTGGGGTCAGTGGCTAACCGAGGGGCTGGATTTTTAACCATGACCGCGGGTTCAATCCCGGGGGGGGTATGGTTTGTTTGCAATCGTCTCTTACGATTTTTGATCATATATATAAAATTATATAAAATATTGCAAAACAACCACTCTGAAAGAATAGAAAATTCCAAGCGCTTTGTGACTACTCACATTATAAAGGAACTAGGGAAGTTCCTTAAAATGTGAGACACGAAAGCGTTGGGAATTTCTCCATTTTTTCGAGGGGTTGTTTTGCATATTCTAAAATCCCCTTTTTACTGTGATCTTTATGCATATACATAATATATATTATATATATATATATATATATATATATATAAACATATACAAGGGATCCTCTCGCACCATTTCTTTTCTGTATAGCTTAGGGAAATCACATCAGTGTTTTGAATACTGGTTTCCCCTGGATGAGGGACACTAGCAGGTAAAAAGGGATCCCCCTATATGATTTTACACGGGAAAAACCCGGGGGGGAGAAAATGGGTTCACCTGAAACACCAAAATGTAAAATCACTCGTCAATCAAAAAAGTGATAAATTATGAGATCAAACCTAAACCCGGAGCAAACATCCCCCCTTGCCCCCACAAATAGCGTCTGGCTTGGACAAACCCTGGGAAGCGAGTCATTGACACAATTCTCGGAAAAACTGGAAGAGTTAGGAGAATGGAAAAAACAATAGGCAATCTTTACACCCACGATGCCCTTTTACCTTCCCCCAAAATGCTTAGTTGCCCAGGGTTTACATATTTCCTAAGATGTCACCTTAATGATAACCCTATACTGCACAATATACAGTATCCCGAGGCGGATTTTACAAAAAATACTTAACCTTACTCTGAAGACGGGCATGGAAAACCCAAACACCCTTCCAATCAACTAGGAGGAAGGTGTCCGCAAGTTACCCAGATTGCCTACTGCTTTTTTTTCCCTCCTCATGCGTTGCATCCAGAGGGCTTGTAGCAGCGATTCTCCCTGAACATCTTAGAAACAAGATTGGAGTCCAGGACCAGAAGTTCATTGACGGGATAATCTAACGGGCTCTGAAACCAGACCTGCTCCCCCCAACAACTACATACAGTCGCACTGGGATGACCCAGTAGTGGAGAATATAACCTTAGAAATGCATGAGGAGCTCTCCTAGCAGAGAGCTCCTCATGCAAGGGACTTTCTGTTGGCTGTTCCCAACTCCAGCCTTGGCACACGCCTCGACCCCCAGACCATCCGCATCGGTGTTACCGCCCCTATTCTCTCCGAACACAGGTGTATTTGTGGTAGTGAAGCAGCAGACCAATTTGGGTACCATGGTCTTGTGTGCCGTAAATCCGAGGGAAAGATTGCAAGACATGAGGAGGTTAATAACATTATCAAGAGGAGCCTCACAACAGCCGGATGCCCAGCAGTAAGGGAGCCACCCCAACTATGCAGATCTGATGACAGCCAAAAGCGTCCAGATGGTATCACCCTTCAAGCCTGGACAGATGGGAAGCAGGTGGTGTGGGACTATACATGTGCATCTACCTTGGCTGATACCTATCTCCAGTAAACAAGGGAGGAAGGAGGGGCAGCCGCCAGCTTCAGGGAGTCCCAAAAGTCTAGAAAATATGGAGAACCTGCATATCATTATATGTTTGTTTCCATAGGCTCAGAGACCCTTGGCTCATGGGGAAAGAGTGCATCTAAGTTCCTTAAGGAGTTGGATAAAAGACTCATCAGGGTAACTAGGGTTCCCAGGGTAGCTAGTTTTCTGTTCCAACAACTCAGCACTGCTGTTCAGAGGGGTAATGCCTGCTGTGTTTTGGGCACGCGCCTCAGCTCTGAAGAGCTGGATGAGATTTTCGCATTATAATCAGTGACAAACACGTAACAATATGTTAGTGACATGTATCTCTCACATCTCATGTACTGTATATGCCATCTTTATATCAACAATGTTTCTCTTATATCTTCTGTACCATATTATGTAATAAATATATCTATTGGTAAAAAAGAATGAAAAGATGGGGTGGTAGGGGAAGTGGAATATTCAAACGGCTTCAGGAAGAAATCCAAATATTCGTCCTTGAAGCCTTTTTATCTACTTCTCCGAGGCTATGGGTCCCACAATTTACACCAGAGGTGAACCCCATATATTATATATATTATATATATATATTTATATATAATATATATATATATATATATATATAATATATATATATATATTATATATATATATATATATATATATATCCCATTATCAAACTCACACACAATATCAAGTGACCTTCTAGAAGACAGATCGTGAGCGAGAGTGAGAGGGAGATGGGTGGGCCAGGTAGTGAAAGAGAGCAAGGTGGGTGGGAGGAGCTTGCTGAGAGCCTGGGTATAAAAGCAACACAAACTAATCCAACAGCATCATACTTCATCACCTCCTGCCTCTTGTTGACTCAAAATCCATTCTTATCTTTCTAGTCAGTCTTTTTTTGCTGAAGGGCAACCATGAAGGTTCTCCTGTTCATTGGTGAATATGGCTTAACTTCTAGTACAGAGTTGATACTTGATATAAACAGATGCTGAAGGAATGATGAGATAATTTCCCTATAATATTCTCACTTCAAACCAATATAACTAATGCTTATTCCTTCAAGGTAGCGATTTAATGAAGCCTCCATATATGAAAAATTAGAGCTACTCTTCCCTATTTAAGATCAATCCTTCTTACTGTAATCTGTATAATCTTATGAGTTTAGCGCTCCCCCATGATTATAATAATAATAATTCTTACTGTAATAATTAAAAGGATAATATTTATATTAATAATTACAACTATGTTTATATTTACTACAGCTCTGCTGGGTGTAACCACCGCTGACCAACGTCCTCCTACAAGTTATGGAGCCCCAAATGGAGGTTTCGGTAATGGGTTTGGTGCCTCTAATGGAGCCTCAAGCAATGGTTACGCAGCTCCAGGAAGAAATGGAGGTAATGGAAATGGATTTGGATTTTCAGGCAATGGGTTTGCAGGTGCTTCAAGTAATGGATATGGAGCTCCCCCAAGTAATGGATATGGAGCTCCCCCAAGTAACAGGTATGGTCCCCCAACGGGTTCTTATGGACTAGATCCGGAGCTGGTTGCTCTGCAGGAGAACATCCCAGGAGGTGGCGTCCCCGGTGAAGACTACCCAGTCTTGTCTTCTCCACCAGACACTGGCTTCTCTTGTGATGACCAAGCAGTGCCTGGTTATTACGCTGACACTGCCCCTGATGCCAGCTGCCAGGTGTTCCACATTTGCCAGGACCGTGCTGTCAGACGTCAGAAGGACTCGTTCCTGTGCCCCAACGGTACCATCTTCAACCAGCAGTACCTGGTGTGTGACTGGTGGTTCAACGTGGACTGTTCTCAGGCTGAGAACTTCTACTCCGTCAACGAACAGATTGGTGTCGTCCCCAGTGCTGGCTATGGTTATGGTCCCATTGCCAATGGTATTGCCAATGGATTCCGTAATGGAAATGGTAATGGATATAGTAATGGTAATGGCAACAGAAGAAATGGCAATGGTGCAAATCGTTATGGATCCAATGGAAATAGAAGGAATGGGAACGGCGCTGGTAATGGTGCCAGCAGTGGTTATAGTGGTCCACCTGCTCCCTCGACTGTCTATGCAAATTCGTTTTAAAATGTCCTATTTAACATATGTCTTCCAGCGCTTGACTGCAGCAATGTTTCAACTCGATAATAAGCAAAGAGGCAACTTTGTTTTTTAAATATCCAATATATAATAGTTGTATTTATATTGCATAATAAAAATTTTTAAATGCTGAGTTTATTTACTTTTTATAAATTAAATTTAATACTTATTTACAATGTCTGATATGGAGTGAGTATTAAAATGGTATAAAATACCGACAGGTTGTTAGGTAAGACACATATGCAACAGTTAGGTATCTTTATTTCGAAACGTTTCGCCTACACAATAGGCTTCTTCAGTCGAGTACAGAAAAGTTGATAGAAGAAACATGAAGACGATGTAATCAGTCCATCACCCTTGAAGTTTTGAGGTGGTCAGTCCCTTAGTCTGGAGAAGAGTATTGTTCCATAGTGTGAAGCAATATGGAGTTGAAGTGACAGGTTGGAGCCTTATATACCGCCAGGAGGTGAGATGTAGGCCACTAGTAGAGGTAAGAATGTAGCCGTTGGGAGGTCACGTCCCTCTCAAATCCAGCCATTCTCACTAGTAGAAGTTGTCCAAGTTGTCCAGGCGGTATATAAGGCTCCATCCTGTCACTTCAACTCCCAGTGGGTGGTGATCTTGCTTCTTAGAATTCTTTCAAAGATTTTTATGATATGGGACGTTAGCGCTATCGGTCTCTAGTTCTTTGTTATTGCTTTACTGTCCCCTTTGTGGAGTGGGGCTATGTCTGTTGTTTTTAGTAACTGTGGGATGACCCCAATGTCCATGCTCCCTCTCCACAGGATGTTAAAAGCACGTGACAGGGGCTTCTTGCAGTTCTTGATGAACACGAAGTTCCATGAGTCTGGGCCTTCGGCAGAGTGCATGGGTATGTCATTTATCGCCTTTTCGAAGTCATTTGGCATCAGGATAATATCAGATAGGTGTGTGTCTACCAAATTCTGCCTTTATCTCATAAAAAGTTCATTTAGGTCTCGACTCTCAGTCTGGTTGGTGGTTCGCTAAAAACCGAGTCATACTGGGACTTGAGTAACTCACTCATTTCCTTACTGTCATCTGTGTAGGAGCCATCCCGTTTAAGTAGGACCCAATACTGGATGTTGTTCTAGACTTCGATTTGGCATAAGAAAAGAAATACTTTGGGAACAACCTCGCCAGGAGTCGAGGTTGAGCCTTCTCCCCACCGTTCCCTCACCGACGGGACAAATAGCGTCCATGAACTTGGCGATTCTCACAGTGGCAGGGTCGTCAGGACAGATGGGAGGAGCCGTGGGATTGCTCCTACGATTACCCAGACAGAAGATGGTCTTGGTCCCAGAACAGACGTCAGGACAGAGTCGACAAATGGGGCGACAGGCGTGACTTCATCTCAGGAAGGCAGAACAACATATATGTTGTTCTGCCTTCCTGACTCTTCTTACAGAGTTGGTGGTAAAATTGAACTTTCTTCTGTTCTTATGCACATTGAAAAAAATTCTCAAGATCCCATCTATCATCACTTGCTAACACGTCTTATGATCATCCCGATCCAACGATTTAAACGTCTTGAAAATGGTACAGAAATCAACAAGCAAAATGTTATCGAAAAACAACGTCACAACTCAAAGTAACCACCAAACTCCATGAACTGACCAATCAACGATAAGCTCCTTCCTTGTCGCCTTCAGCCACAAATCACCAGCAGGTCTCAACTTTCTTCCATCCAGCAAGATGCAGTCAGCTTCTTCAGTGCTCCAGTGCCTTCTACGTCGTCCTCGTCAGTGCTTTCCATGCTTAGCAGTTGGGTCTAGTCCTGACTCTTCTCTCTTCAACTCAAGACATTCCTGTCACCGTCTATTCTTCGCCCTGTCCCTCCTTGCCCCTCGCCCCTCGTGGGTCCTTACCTGTGAGTCCGTGTTGTTGTTGTTGCACCATGCAGAAGCCTGAGCTTGCACCCACCTGCAGCTCAGAAGAGGGCCATCCCCACGAGCCCCTTTGGGGCGGGGCAGATGGCCTAGCTTCTCTCTACGAGCCCCGTTAGGGCAGGGACTGTGGCTAGGCCTGGGGACAGTTGGTCCCAAAGATGAGGAGGTACTTGTACCTCTTCCCATGGGAGACAGGTCTCGCGATAATCCCCAGACAGAGAGCCAAGGCCGGGTCACCATTATTGGAAAAGACTCGGGCCGGGAGAGTACCTGCGAATAAAAAAAAAATGACACCATGCCCACCCCTACCTAGGGCAGGGTAGATGCCTGAGCCAGAGCTTGTAGCTCAGAAGACTGTCATTCCCATTAGCCTCCTTGGGGCGGGGATGGCAGATCAGAGAGGCCTAGCTTCTCCATACGAGCCCCGTGAGGGCGGGGAATGTGGCTAGGCCTGGGGACAGTTGGTCCCAACGATGAGGGGGTACTAGTGCCTCCTCCCATGGCAGACTAAGTAAGTAAGTAAGTTTATTCAGGTATTCACAAATACAGTTACATAGAATTATTATACATAGCAGCATATGTGTAGAGAACCTAGGATAACCCAAAAAAGTCAGACAGAGTGACTTATTTCCATTGGGGTCCTTTTACCTTATTATTATAATATAAAGGTTATAATATTTTCTTATTATTCTATAATGAAGATAACATCTTATTATCATACTAAAAAGACTATTTACTACACGAGGGTCATTAAGACTATCTACAATACGATGGTCATTACTAGGAATAAGGTAAAATTTACACGTATGTTAGCTAAAAAATAGAAAATCATTCCCTCCCTTTCTGTAGCTGCATTCATCAGACATCTTTTGGCACTCTTCTTGAACTGGTTCATGCTATGACTGGCTTTGACATGTGCGGGTAGTCTGTTCCATTCCTTTATTGCTGTACAATAAAAGGTGTTTGAAGCCTGGCCAATGACTGTCGGTACTACAAAGTTGTGCTCTCTCCCCCTAGTACTGTGATTGCTTTGGTTCCCAACCTTGACAAAATTGACAGCAAGATATTCTGGACACTGTTTGTGAGCAATTTTATAAACATGATTTAGCTTCAGTTGTTTTACTCTGTCTTCAACATTCAGCATATCCAACTGCTGTAATTCATCCTCGCCTACATGTTCTCTTGGTCCCAGCCACAGGATGAATCTTACGATTTTGTTCTGGGTGATTTACAGTCTATCTTTCAGTTTTTGTTTTTTTTTGTCAAGGCAGAGTACCATGAAGAGCAAGCGTAATCCATATGGCATTGTATAAGGGCTAGACATTGGGTCCTGCGAGCCTCAGTAGCTAGATACTGTGCTTGTCTATACAGGAACTTCAGTCTGGCATTCGCTTTCTTTACTACACTGTTCCCTATCAATTCTCCTGACATGCATGGGTCAAAGGGGATTCCCAGATATTTTACTGATGAAACCAAAGTGATGGGCTCCCCATTGCACTGGACATTAAAATTATTTACCCCCTTTTCAGTTAATGTTTCGTGCCAAAGAGAATGGCTTCATTTTCCCCCAGTGAATGATTCTGTATCTTTTTTACGGGGGGGGTTTAGCCTTTCCAAAATTCCTTTAATTGCTTTAAAATAAAAGGGGAAATCCTTTTTGGGGGCCAATGACTGGGGTTTTCTAAAAATTTTTTGTTCTTTTTCCCCAACGGAGGGTTCCCCCCCTTTAAAACCCAAAAATTGCGCCGGGGACTTCTAACACGGGGTTTTTTGCCCCCGGGTTTAAAAAAATTTTTTAACCCCCCAGTTTTTTATTTTATGCAACACGGGGTTAAAAACGTTGTAATTTCCCCGCCAACAAAGGGCCCCCCTTGGGGGGGTTTCCCCAAGCCCCCGGTGAATTTTCTTTTGCCTGGGGGGGATTTGGTTATATTTTGGTTTATTTTTTTGGGGTCCATAAAGGGGGCGTTTTGGAATTGGGTTAAAAGGGTTTGGGTTGGGTTTGGGGGTTTCGTTGTGTTGGATGTTTTTTAAGGAATTGTTGGTTGTTTTTTAAAAGGGGGGGGGTTCCAATAAAATTTCCCTCCCATCAGGAAAAGGGGTTAATTAATTTTACTTAAAATTTTTTGGGGGCCCCCAATTGCAGGCCATTATAAAAACCCCCCTTTTTAAAGTTTATTTTTGTAAAGGGGGATTCCCTTTTTCCCCGGGTTAATTGTAGTTATTTTTTTCCCCTAACCATTTGGGGCCCGGCCCGGACCCATTTTCCTTTTTTAAATCAAAAATATTTTTAAAACTTGTTTTTAACCTGACCCAAACCGGGCATTCCTTTTGAAATTGGAGTTCATTTCCCTTTTGTAAAGGCATTTCCCTGCCCCAAAAAGAAAATTGGGCCCAGTCCCCGGGGGAACCCAATTTTTATCGGAATTTTTGATTCCGGGTTTTTGGATTTTGGGGACAAATTTTCTCCTTTTTGCTAAGGTAGGACTTAAACCATTTTAAACAAAACCCTTTACCGAAAAGCTTAAAGTTTTTTACAAAATTTTATTTTTTGGTTTACAGAAATCAAAGGCCCTTTTGCAGGTCAAGGGTTTTCCTTTACCTATGGGTTTCCCCTTTGTTTTTTTCATTTTTCTGGAAAGCCATCAATTAATTAGGGGGGGTTGTGGGTGAGTAGGGAATTTTCAAAAAACCCCGATTGAAAGCAAAGGAAAATTTTTGGGCTGTCTTTAAAGGGGATTTAAAACTACTTGAGAGAAACCCCCCCTCTAAATTTTTTAAGATTTTATACTGAGTATACAAACCGGCCTAAGTTGCTGACATCAAAACCTACTATTTTCCTTGAAGATGGAGTAATTTCTGGCCTCCTTGAACCCCTCCGGTACGGTATTAGGGTGATTGATAGTTTTTTTATGTGAGCAATGGGGGTTTGACAGTTCAGAAGCCCATCTTTTGGGATCTTAGAGGGGATGTTACGGGGCCCTTTGGGTGCTCTTAGTTGGGTTTAACCTGCTTATTTTCTTTTAATAAATCATGAGTTTACACTTACTATTTGACAACTTTTTGGGGTTCCCCCTTTAA